TGTGAAATTTCATCAGTAAGAGAGTAAGGTGCTTCACTCTTTAAAATGAAATTAGGTTTTATGCCCTTTCACATTCTACTTTTAATTGAATATTTAAAGCCAAGAAGCGTACGATGCAGCGACATGTAAGATTGCCCTTTCAAAAGGGAAATAACCTGATAACTCGTGACTGGCAGGTTATGAGTGAGTTATATCTAGCACTGCAGTCAAGAGATAAAGATGTCACGTGGCTTCTCATTATGTATTCAATTTCTACCAAATTCTTCTTCTTCTCCATGTAGTATCCTCAATTATTCAAGGGTTGCCAAACCATGGCTAAATCTATGATTTTCTACTGCTGGACAGGGCAAGGAGTTAGGTGCCAAGTCTAGTTTAAACATAATGAGGATCAAACCCTATGATACTGGTATTTTTCTGAACCACAAACTAGCTATCTAACTCACTGAGCTAATTGCCACCTCTTACGCAGCGCTAACTGTTGAAAATTCTTACAACTAGATGTACAAAAATATTAAGTACATTCACTCATATATTGATAACTTGTTCCAGCTAATTCACAGTGTAAACTGCCCAGTTCCATAGCTAACATGGGTTTGTGATTTGAATATCTACACCAAGCAATATAAAACTAGAGGGTGATATTTTCCCCTCCTTGTTGTGGAGTGAATGGTGTGAAAAGAAGGTGAGAAAATGCAATACGAATGAAAAAAGGCAGGTTTTCAACATGAAGAATGATTTTCCCAATTTTCCCCTCAGGCCATACATGCTTACTTCAGAATCTCACCAGCAAGCAGAAACTAACCTGGTTCCAGGCCCTACAGCCCCAACTCACCTTATTGCTATGGTAGTTACAATTCTACACTACTTCACTGAGAAATCAGATGGTGCAAATTCCTGACATGAAAATCAGAGCCTGTCCCAGTCATCATCCTCCTGTGTCTTCAAAACAACATGGTCACCACCCTCCTAGACCCTTCATTCACGTAAGTCAGCATTGACAAACCACCAGTCTCACCGCATCATCCTGCTTACTCTTAGAAAACGTCAGACACCACTTTAGTCCTTCAGGACTTTACTTTAGAGCTCAGGGACATCTATGAATTGTACGCACCTGCCAGGTCACTTTGAATGCAGGGGCACGCATGCATTTTATACATCTCTAACGGAATCTTTTTTGCTCAGATGGACATATGCAAGTAATGGCTCTTAGCTTGCTTTCTTACTGCACATTCACTCACTTGGGAGGTTGTTAGCCTCTGTCTACCTTATATATTTTCCTAGCAGACACTCACTGACTTCAGCACTGAGTTATGAGCTGCGAACCCCTGTATGGCTCACATTGCTTTCTTAAAGCACAGAGCCATTAGTGCTCCATTACAGACTGCCAGCCTCAGATGTAGAGGCAGGCATCATGCGAGGGTGAGGAGCACTGAACTATCAATCTATCAGTGAGACAGGGGTGGACACCATGTTACAACATCGGACTTGCAGCAAGTTTCATTATCTATATATAAGTTACACAGCAAACTCACTGAATGTGCTTCAAACAAATGGCCATGTGTGAAAGTCAAAGTGTAGCAATCATTGGTGGGATGAAGCAGGACTACAGTCAGTAAATAGGTACTGCCACAGGCAGTCAGGATACTCGTCTTATTTCAGTACAGGGATTGAGCCACAGCCAGTCCTATGAATCAAGCGCAAAATCAGGAGATTAATGGTCGGTCAGTCAAGGTGTTATGCAGAAAGCAGTCTTGACAGTGAGCCATTGGCAACTGTAGCTGCCCTACCAAGTCAGTCTGGGTGGTTAGTCATGGGGGCTTTCGTCAACAATATTCAAGGGGCTTATCAGGCAGCAATCCACACAGTCTGGGGAAAAGCATGCAACTCAAGCCTGGAGATGGCATTGTGTGTGCTGGGTCCTGAGGGAGTGGTGGTCCTGATAAGGGGAAATTATACAGTAGACTGGGATCCTATATTGAATAGGAAGGGACTGCAGGGTCCAGATGACAGGAAACAAACAGGTCACAGTAGCAATGGCCTTTATGTGAAAAAATTGTTGGGCTAACAGGCCATGGGATTTTTCAAAGCTCTCTGGGGTAAAGTGGGCACATTACCAGTTATGTAAAGGGGCTTAATAGTAACATGGATACTAAAAGGTCATAGGGTCACAAGGACTGCAAAGGAGACGGGAATATGAAGGATGGGGGAAATTCATCCAGCAAAGCATGGAAGCCATTTACACTGAAACCAAGTCAAAATATTTTCATGTTGGATCTAACATTAACTTCACAATAATAACACAACACGGTTGCCACCATATCCAAAATGGTTCGTGTAAGTTACCTTTCTTTCCTTTGGAAACAGAGTAAAATGTTTGGAATTAGAGACCTTCCTAGGAGTAATTGCAGTAATCATGCCTCCACTAATTCAATAATGCTGGCCTCTGGCTTCAATCTGCACTTCACTGGCAGGCCATTCTTTGTCAAGAATGCAATTAAACATTCAGGTCTCAAACATTTGTGAACTGAGTAAACAAACACACTGTGTGGACTGGAGACAACAAGGTGCAGAGCTGGACGAACACAGCAGGCCAAGCAGCATTGGCCTGCTGTGTTCATCCAGCTCTGCACCTTGTTATCTCAGATTCTCCAGCATCTTCAGTTCCTGCTATCTCTGAAACACTGTGTGCACTAATTGTTTCCCTGTCATTCGAGTTTCAAGCTGTAGTGAGAATAAGCAGAATCTGAATTCCCACTTCACAACACATTCCATAGCAAGCATTGGAAGCAATGCTTCGCAAATGTCAGAATTACACAGTGAACTGTCTGTTTGCAAGGACAAGGTCTGCAATCCAGGAGGGAGCCTTCTCTTTGGAGTGCTGGGAAACTAACTATTATGATAGTTTACTGGCAGAACTCTATTCCAAATTTATCATGAAAACTTTGGCTGGTTGTTCAATTCACATTTGGATAAAGTCTCATTTCTTAGAAATCCTTATGACGGCGTGACAATGGTAGGAACTCTCTTGTGGAATTCTTCATGACACGCTGTGTGAGGACATAACACGAGACGGGCTTCACTGTTATGAATGTGAGGCCTCAGAAGTTCCTTCAATTAAACTTTTGTTATCTTTCTGACATTCCCTGCAGAATATCTGCTCACAGATCTCTCACAGAGAATCCCAGCAGTGGAGTCAAGGTGGCCTTAGTACTACTGTAAAGACAATATAAAGATGGAGCTGGCAATTGTTACTTTGTTAGCATGTCCAAGAGGAATAGCAACTTCCAATAGCTGGTTTGGACTTTGTTTAATTGTTTACAATTCTTTTGGTGATATGATAAACAGCTGCTGCTTACTACAAAGGAGCCATGTCCCATGTTACTTTTACATTTTGACATTTTGTGTTGCTGAATAAATGTCACATTATCCATATGATTCTACATTTGATATCTTCAGGTGATCCCACTTTAAAGTATTTACATACGCGTCCAGTTGACTGAGTGAAACAGCAACTGTCACTGAAAGTGTACTAACATTGTACAGTGCTAAGTTTAGGTAGCTGCTGAGGCACTCATTAGGACATTGCATCCAACTGTTGTGTTGTGAAATCCTTCATTCCTGACGAATCTCCTTTTGACCCTTCAGTTGGTAACCCTTCAATGTTTCAGAGTGTGCATAGACTGCCAATTTGCACTGAAACGCTTGATCATCCTCTCAACTTGTGTACAGCCTGCAAGAGCAGTTTTTCTTTGCACTTGAGATAAAGTGGTCTTATGAGCTGCCCATTATGTATCTCCCAACCTTGAACGGCAGTGTGTTCCCTTCAAAGGCTCATGCATAAAATGCACCTTTCCCTGCAGAGAGGTGTAGAATCATCACTAATTCTGTACTCTCACTCCAAAGGATGCACACAAGCCAGGTCCCACCATAATCCCTCAACATTGTTTACAGCTTCAGTGTTGTCCACGTTAATGTGCAAAGCCTTGGCTAAAGTCCTCAGCCTTAAAGTACAAGAATCCATGATGTCTGATGCTACCTGTTGTTTAGGAGTCAGTTACTTGTGTGAGATGAGCAATGCTTGACTATTGCAACTTTTCTCATCCTTAGGATGTTGCACATGGTTGTGACTTAACCGGGCCTGATAGTGTCAATTATATGACAGCAGACATTTAAACAGCGTAAATGAAGATATAATTGTAATCGTGAAAGGTTATCCGCAATGATGTATTACCCATGTCACCTTTGTGCCCTCATTAGGTTTCCTTATTCCTCTCCCTCCCACTAGATCCAAGTACAGCCCCAGCTTCCCCAGCTGGTGTGGAGGGAACCTGCTCTGTAGAAATTCTGAGAACCACACATCCAGATGCTACAGTTGTTTTCTAAACAAGAGCAGATGGTTTATCAAGGACATCTCCATATTCTCTTCCAGGTCCTCACAACTCTGACCTGGATATTTATTGATCTTCCTTTATTGTCAATTGATCAAAACTCTGGACTACTTCTTTCCTAAAACCAATGCTCTCACTACCAGTTCGCAAGAAGTTTCATCACCAGATTCTGACCATCTGGGGATCAATAATAAATAATTGTCTCGCCTGCAATACCCTGACCCCCAACCCCCTGCAAAAGCTCTTTAAATCTCCTTCCTGAAGTACAATTTCTGTCAAATCAAGAAGGTCACTCATGGAGTTTCACATGTAGCTCTTGATTGCATTGGTTGTGTGAATGGAGTAACTTTATTTCCCAGGCCAACTTGCCTAACTATTGCCCCTTCTTGCCACCTGCTGCCCAAAATCAAAGGAAGAGATTATCTCACCCAAAGTGCCTGATTCTCACCTGTATTGACTGTGAATAAACATTAGGCTTTCTGCAACACTACGCTAAGTGAATTAAACCACTTTGATGAAGTTTCTGGGCCCAGGCTCCTGATAAAGTATATTGAATCAATCATTAGATACTGCCTGAATACCAACCAATGGAACTATATTATATAGGCCTACCTGTGTTTCTTTAAAGTCTTTCACACCAACACAATAAATAATTGCCCCCAGCTTTCTTGCTTCATTAGCCTATAATGAAATTCAAAATAGATTAGCTTCAGTCAAAGATAAAACATGTAGTTCATTCAGTGGTAATTCTGAATGTTGTACTTACCCGCCTAATTGTGTAGGGCAACACATTCTCCACTAATTCACCATCAGTCAGAACAATAATTGCACTTGCAGTCTTCAACCCTTTCTGTTGCTCTTTTGTTATTTGTTTAGAAGCCTGACAAATAGAAATTTTATACATTGGTTAGGCTTAATGTTTAAATAAACTACTGGATACTTATTACTTAAGGAGAGATAAATTTGTCCAAAGAACTTTAAAAAATTGAACAAGCTGTTTTAGAGGATAAAAGAGAAAGCTTTTATTTTATCAAACTGTATTTTCTCCACCTCTTCTTTCTTGAATCTTATTATGAACCTTTCCTGACCAAACAATGACCTTGTGTGTTACTTGCATAGTTCTACCAATACCACATTGAAATCAGCTGTTAGGACAGTATCGAGCACAGTTCGTCTTCCAGTGTTTTATTACACTTGAAAGTAGTTAGTCTCCATTCTGCACCTCCCCAAAGTTTCACAAAGTTAGTGGGAAATGAGAAAACATGAAATCACATTCTACAAATGCATGGCATACTGTAAAAGCCGTAAATTTGGTCACAGGCAATTGTGCAAGAAACTGTTTCTATATTGATGCAAAGTTATATTCCCCAGGTTCACTCATTTAAGAAAAAAATTATGCACGGTATTTTAAGGGACATCAAACAAGTAAAATGGCTTGAATACATGTTAATTATGTATGCTTAATTTATAGCATATAGTTTACAGGCCTCATCTTTCAGCCCTGTCTATTCTCCTCTACATTCTCCATGGTCAAATTTTCTCTTCACACCTATTCTTCTGGGATCTGGATCCAGAACCACATAATACATTCCATGAATAGCTATTCCTCATGAGCAAATCTCAACTGCGAACATCACCAAGCCATGCAGACCAATGGAGCACCACAGCAGGACAAGATCCTGTCCTTATACCATTGTAAATGTACATTCATTTCCAGCAAGTTACGAGAAAAAAAGGCTACTGGAGAGTGAGGAAAGCCTGGATTATCTATAGTTTATCTTTCGATTCGTAGTTGCCGTGATTTTTTGGTACCAAAAATTGTCACAAATACAATAAAACAGCACTGACATTTGAAAATAGCAAGAAAGAATAAAAGAAATCAGTTAAAATATTGGTCTACAATTTGTCTGCTATATGACAGTGATTTTATGGTATGCTCTATTTTTTATTCATGTAGGGGTTGTGGGTACTGCTGGCTGGGTCAGTGTCTATTGAACATCCCCAATTACCGTTCAGAAGGTGGTGGTGAGCAGGTTTCTTGAATCACTGCAGTCCATTTTGTGCAGGTAGACCCAGAATGCCATTAGGGAGGGAGGTCCTGGATTTTGACCCAATGATAGCAAAGAAACAGTCGTATATTCCAAAGTCAGGATCGTACCGTATAACAAAAAAAAGGCTTCAGGGTCAGAGTATTTTAAGTAAAGGTATGCCAGGGGACTTCAGACCCATACGTCACACATTGTACAGTATGTGGGAAGTGTTAGATGCTCCTGGTAGTCTGGATGACCACATCTGCTGGAAGTAGCCACAGTCTGGCAACCTTGAGCACTGGATTTCCGAGCTTGAGTGCCCGCTGTGGGCACAGCTGTACATCCACAAGTCTCAGAGTTATGTGGATATGTGTTTTTAGATGTGGTCACTGTGTAGCTTAAGACGGATGAGGTTCTGCAACAAGAATTCAGGGAGCCAAGTAAAAGATTAAAAAGCACATTCAATGGTTGCGATCACTGGATTATTCCCAGTGCTACGTACTAGCGAGTATAGCAATAGGTAGAGAGACGGATGAATCTGAGGCAAAGAGCTGAAGGGACAGGCTTTAGATTCCTGGATGGCTGGGTTCATTTCTGGGGAAGGTGGGACCTGAAGCAGAATGATGATGGAACAATAATACAAGGGGAGGTGGTGTTGTAATATTGATCAAGGAGACATGTACTGCAGTAAGGAGCAATGGCATCTCAGAAGGTACCTCAAATGAGACCATATGGGTAGAACTTAAAAATAAAAGAGGGGCAATCATATTACTGGGAGTGTACTATAGATCCCCAAACAGTCAGAGAGAGACATAGGTAGATATGCAAGCAAATGTTAGAGAAGCGTAAAAATAATAGGGTAATAATTGTAGGGCATTTCAATTTCCCCAATATTAACTTGGAAAGACAAAGTGTGAAAAGCTTAGACATGGCAGAATTTTTAAAAGTGTCCTGGTGAACTTTTTAAACAAGCACATTTTGGCGGCACAGTGGCAGTGGTTAGCACTGCTGCCTCACAGCACCAGGGGCCCGGGTTCAATTCCACCCTCGGGCAACTGTCTGTGTGGAGTTTGCACATTCTACCTGTGTCTGCGTGGGTTTCCTGTGGGTGCTCTGGTTTCCTCCCACAGTCCAAATATGTGCAGGCTCGGTGGATTGGCCATGCTAAATTGCCTATAGTGTCTAGGGATGTTTAGGTTAGGTGGGTTAGACAAGGGAAATTAGGGAAATTAGGGGAATGGGTCTGAGTGGGATGCTCTTCGGAACGGCAGTGTGTACTTGTTGGGCCGAATGGCCTGTTTCCACACTGTAGGGATTCTATGACTGAATGTCGACAAGACAATGCTGCACCTAGATTTAGGGAACAAATCTCGGCAAGTGGCAGAAATGTCAATGGGGGAACATTTCAGTAATAGTAACTATAACTCAGTAAGATTTAAGATAGTCATGGAAAAGAACAAGATGAACCGGACATAAAAGTTCTGAGTTGGGGGATGGTCGATAAGGCAGGATCTGGCCAAAGCCAAATGGGAACAGGTACTTGTAGGAAAAGCTACATCAGAACAGTGGGAATGATTCTAAAAGAAAATAGTGAAAATGCAAGGTTAACATGTTCTCATAAAGGGAGTGAAGTGTGGAACCAACAAGTTTAGAGAACCCTGCATGTGAAGGGATGTACAAGATTAGACAGCAATATAAAGGGAAATTTAAGGGAGGTACAAGGGGCTCAAAATAATAGAAATCCTAGAGTATAGCAAGTGCAAGGGCTTACTTATAAAATTAGGAGAGCAAACATGTGGCACAATAGAACATCAGTGGGAAATAAAGGAAAATCCAAAGGTATTTTACCAGTATATGAAGGTAAGAGGATAAGCAGGGAAAGAATAGAGCTCACTGGGGCCCGAAATGGCAATCTGTGTGGAGGCAGAATACACAAGTGATGTTTTAAATGAGAATGTTGCATCTGCATTCATTATAGAGAAAGTGGATGCAGATATAGAAATCAGGGAAGAGGACTGGAGGACTTGAACAAATTACAATTGAGAGGGAGGATGTATTAGCTTAGTATCATTAAAAGTCTTAACACGTAGATAAATGGATAATCCTCAATTCCATTTTCCTGCCTTTTCCCAGAACCCTTGATTTCCTTACTGATTTAAAACCTATGTCTGTGAAAGGCATTCCTTCATACAAACATGCTCATGTCTGTCAAGGCATGCTCATGTGCATAGATAGTAACTTATACATTCCTCCCTCTGTGGGAGTTAGAGCTGTTCACCCTGTGCTATGGCAACTCAGTAGTTAGCACTGCCACCTCATAGCACCTGGGACCTGGGTTCAATTCCATCCTTGGGTGACTGTGTGGAGTTTGCACATTCTCCCTGTATCTGCCTAGGTTTCCTCTGGGTGCTCCAGTTTCCTCCCACAGTACAAACACGTGCAGGTTAGGTGAATTGGTCATGGGAAATGTAGGGTAGGGTATGCTCTTTGGAGGGTTAGTGTAGATTCGATGGGCTGTAATGATTGTACGATCTGTCAGCTTTCTATCTGGTAGACATCATTGATTTGGAAAGAACTGTTGAAGAAGCCTTAGTGAGTTGATGCAGCGCATTGTGTAGATAGTACATGCAATGTTCACAGCATGCCAGCTGTGAAGAGATTGAATATTTATTATATATGCATAGTTGATAAAGGAAACAACTTTCTCCTGAATGTGTTGAACACCTTGAGAGTTGTCGGGGCCACAATCATCCTGGGATGTGGAGAGCATTCCATCAGTATCCTGAATTATGGATGGTGGAGAGATTTTGGGGAGTCAGAAGATGGGTTGCCTGAGGCAGAGTTCCCACTTCACACTTTCTCACATAGCTACAGTATTCACATGGCTTGTTCAGTTCGGTTTCTGGTCAATGGTACCCCACAGATGTTGATGATGGCGTATCCAGTTAGGTAATGTCATTGAATGTCAAAGAGTTGTGCTTATGCTCTTTCCTGTTGGAGATGTTCATTGCCTAGTAATTGTGAGTTATAAATGTCACCTGTTACCAAACAACCCAAGCCTGCATGCTTCCCAGGACTTGCTGAATGTGAGCACGGCCTGCTTCAATGTCGGGGGAGTTACAAAGGGTGAAAGTCCCCTGTTCTGACCATATGGTGGAGGGAAGATCATTCATGAGCAGTTGATGAAGGTGGGCCTACCATCAGGAACTCTTGCTGTGACTTCCTGAGATAAAATTAATGGCCAGCAACAATCATAACTACATCATCTTCCTTTCTACTAGGTTTGAATGGTTCTACTAGGTTTTTCCCAATTTCCATTGACTTCAGTTTTGCTAGGGTCTCTTGATGCAAGACTCAATCAAAAGCTAGCTTGATATCAAAGGTAGTCACTTTTGCCTCCCCTCTTGACTCAGGTGTTTTAGTCAAACCCAAACCGAGTCCCATGAGCTGGATTCTGATAAGTGCTGCAAACTGGTATGAGCTAACTGTGAAAAGCTGATCAAGCTAAAGAGGTTGGGTTAACTGACAATGGTGCTGTCTTTACATAAGCATCTTCTTGATTAGACGTTTCTAAAAGAGTTTGAGTTATTGGGAGAGGCTGGATAGGCTGCGACTCTCTTCACTGAAGCATAGAAGATTGAGGGGTGGCCTTATACAGGTTTATAAAATCATGAGGGGCATAGCTAAGGTGATCAGCGTAGGTCTTTTCCCTAGGATGGGGAAGTTCAAATCCAGAGGGCATATCTTTAAGGTGAGAAGAAAAAGATTTAAAAGGGACCTGAAGGGGAACTTTTTCCACACAGAGGGTGGTTCATATGTGGAATGAAGTGCCAGAGGGAGTGGTGGATACAGATACAGTTACAACATTTAAAAGACATTTGGACAGGTATATGAATAGGAAAGGTTTAGACCGATGTGGGCCAAGCGCAGGCAAGTGGGACTAGTTTAGTTTAGGAAACCTGGTCAGCATGGACGAGTTAGACCAAAGTGTCTTCTACCGTGCTGTATGACTCTATAACTAAATGAGTCTATGATGATATTTCGATCTTCATGTCTCCAGCCTTAGCTTAAAAGTAGCAAAATTGACGCCGTCAAAAGATGGCGGATGTGAGCACATGAGCTCAGCTGATTTTTTGTGCAGCACTGGGCGTGTCAGAGGTGACACCTTTCAGATGAGATGTTAAAACCAAACACTGTGTGTCCTCTCACGTGACTGTAAGCGATCCCATGGCACTATTTTCTGCCTGGAGTGGTGGCCAATAGTAATCCAGCAACCAACATGATTCACAACTGATCATCACAATGAAGTTTGTGGCATTATGTGGTGTGCAAACTGACCACCACATTATCAGCATAACGGCAATTTCAAAAGTACTGCATTGGCTGCAAAGCACTTTGAGGCTATGAAGCATCAAGTTATTTACTTTGTCAGACAAAAAATTTAATCCATCAATCTTGCACTTTCCAGCAGCACAGATTGTATAATTCACGAGTGTTGTGACTTTATCTCTATCTCACACTCTGGGATAAAAGGCCTTCAAACTGCAAAGAACTGCTTGTAAAAGTCGAGACTATTTCTTCCTGGCTCCAAGAATTTTGTGTGAACTCTTTAAACTAAATTACACTGTATTTTCCCCTTCACCACAGCAGCAAAATACAGCAACAAGCACCTCAGCTGAAAGGCATGCTGATCCATGGTTAGTGGAGAGTTTACTGATTCAGCTGGACCTCAAGTTTGGAACCTCTGAGTGTATCTCCTTGCCGAGTAAATAATGCCACTGAAATTACCCTCACAATCAAACGTGATTTTATTAGTGCATTGCGTTGATAAACCTAACGTTAATAATCCAGCAAGGATCAATTTAGTTAATAGGGAACCAATTTACTGGGACATCATAAGTAAATAGGTAACAGTCACTTTCTGCTTAATTTCTCAGGGCCATGCCTTGATCAATCACGGTCAACCTGCCTGGTGTAAAATTTAGACAAGGCTTGGTTGTTAACTTGCAGTCATCATTTCAAGGTGCATTTTCCATTTTGCCAATTAAAGACCACTTGCCAAACAACTAGCAATCTCTTTTCATACATTGTTTTCCCTTCAACTTGGTATTCTTACAAATTGTCCTGATGAGTGCAAGACAAGAAGCTTTGACAAAGTGTGACTTCTTTAAGCAATACCGAAGTTCTAAATGACTAATATCTCATTTGATTTGTTTTCAATAGAATATTTAGTGTATGCCACATTTCACTGAAATAGAATTTTGAAATTCTGAATACTATCAAATAAATAAAAATATTAACTTACCTCAAGTATACCCAGATGCATATAAGTATCACCTGCTGGATTCACAGATTGGAGGGCAAGAAGACCAGCATTGATTTGTTTCCTATAACAATAAAGGATAAACATTCCAAGTGTCAATGCTTGGCTATCAGAAATAATTTACTTCAGCTATAGGAAAAATAATTAATGCAGTCTCAGTCAGTGAAGTAATTAGAGATATTTCGACAAAACCACACAACTTCTCCAGCCATTCTCATTTCTGAAAGTTAGATTCATGTCATGTCCAAATGGGTTGGGTGAAAGTGTATTTTTTTGAGTCAGCTGCAACAGCCTATTTAAAATTAGTTTATCTTCACAATTTCAAGAAGTTTCTACTGCCTCTATTAACTCATATTGGAACCTCTGAGTGTAACTCCTTGTTGAATAAATAGTGCCACTGAAATTACCCTATCAAACGTGATTTTATTTGTGCAGGGTGTTGGTAAATCTAACGTTAATAATCCAGCAAGGATCAAACTAGTTATTAGGGAACCAATTTACTGGGACATCACAAGTAAATAGGTGACAGTCACTTTCTGCTTAATTTCTCAGGGCCACACCTTGATCAATCACAGTCAACCTGCCTGGTATAAAATTTATCAGAGATAGTAGGAACTGCAGATGCTGGAGCATCTGAGATAACAAGGTGTAGAGCTGGATGAACACAGCAGGCCAAGCAGCATCAGAGGAGCAGGAAGGCTGATGTTTCGTTCCGAGACCCTTCTTCAAAAAATGGGTTCTGAAGAAGGGTCTAGGCCCAAAATGTCAGCATTCCTGCTC